ATATATTTTTTACGCAAATTTTAATTTCAATGTATTAGGATTGATTGATTTTCAAGGAGGAAAAGGCGGATTCGGGATCCACGCGCATGTATGCGGATACAAACGGATCCATGCGAATACAATTTAATTGAACTGAACTGTCCCAGAAAGCGCTGCTCCCACAAGCAGAACAAAAACGTTCTGTCTGTGGGAAAAGAATTCATAGAACAGAACACAATTGTCCCGTTACCCAGGAAATTTTCCCGATAACAGAAACAGGAGTGTTCTGTTTCGCGGCCCGAACCGTTCTGTTTTGGGGACAGGATTGTGCTGTTTTAGCGGAAGAATTGAGAGGGATCCATGGGGATCTGTCCCGATCCACGCGGAATCCCGGATCCACAGATCCGCCTTTTCCCCCTTGGGTAATGTACATTATTCAATCAAAATAAACGTCTTAATGTTTTGTAATTCTTCAAAAATATAACGCATTACGTCACCTTGACGTAAGGCTCTTCGGTTAATATACGTTATTTTGATTAACGGTTAATCGAAATAATTTATATTAACCGAAGAGTAGCAAAATAACAGCAGTTTAAAAGTCTGATTTTAGCAGATTATCATCGATGACGTTCCTTAATTCTCTTATAAATCTTTAAAATAGCTATAGTTTAACGGATTATAATGGATTCAGCAGCTTTAACGTAAGAAACGAAAGAACTTTACTGCATTATCAACCATTAAAGGCTTACAGCCGATTACCTTGCATTAATCAGAGCGATGACTCATGAGTAACGCATGAAATGTGATGATTCACCCCGATGAATCACGATTCACAGACTTAAAACAAGATTTTTGATCTTGGGTGATCTTTTACGCTTTGTCAAATATTTGTACACTGCCTAAGAGCGGCTAGAGGTAGTAGTGCTAGTAGAAATCGTTTGGTGATTTAGAAACGGTGATAAACTTTTACTTCACACGTTATAATACGCTATTACAAATATGCCCAGAAACATGTACAGTACTCGCATTATTGTGCGTTAACGCGTAGTTATGTATTATAATGTGCTCTAGTTTAAGACTTAATGCAGGTTGGACGCATGATAATGCATTAGAAAAATGCTTTCCATAAGTTAATGACTGTATAAATAATGGATTATAAAGGCTTACCATAACAGATGTCGCCTTTAACGAATTATAATATCATATTTTTCTATAATTTTTCCGTAGTCTTTTACAATTTCATGCATTATAATGCATAACACTTTCAATCTATTATCATGCGTATCATTTTTTAATTTTATTTAATGTATATTAAAGCCTCAAAATTATCTAATGGGTGAACGATGCTTAACCAATACAATCTTCTATCATGCGTGTCTGTTGGAATTTTAGTATCAGTATTATATTCAAGAAGATCTTAACCGACAACAAGAATTGAATGTAACATTAGAAAAACATTTATCAAATGCAGAAATTAATTGTCTTCATCTGTTATTAGAAAAACGAGAATATTGCCCACACACAATAATCAAAAAATATGTAAGTATTTAGTCATAGTGCATACATTTATATGCAAATTTTAGCAAAAGCTTTTGATATTGTCATCACTCTCATTGATTAACATTTTGATTAATTAAATTTCTAGCCAAAACAATGTATCTATTGTTGGTTCTTAGGCAAACGACTTAAATTCAATGACGCATTAAAATTTGTTCAATATCGTCTGCAAGGTAAAAAGGAAATTTTTATGATGGTAGTAGCCCATAAATTCTACCTGCTTTCCTGTCTCTAACGAAGACTTCTAAAGAAAGAGGTATGATGCCGTCATTTCTCATTCCACTGTGTCTCCCAGAAGGGTATATTTCTATAGGTAGTGTAAACAACAAAATAATACACCGAATTTTATACATCCTTCAAAAATTTCATAGTTTCAGTCGGAAAATGTAAATTTAAACTTTTTTCACGATTATCAATTATTTTCAGTAAACAGAATGGCTTTCAACTTTTGAATGGTTGTTTGCCCGTTCTTTTACTCATTTTCGATGGTAACTGTCGCAGTTAAACAACATTTTCTGCATAATAATATGGTTGTCTTTTTACCTTTATTATCATATTTGCAATTGTCATAAGAAATTGTATATAACTTCATGTGATTTTAGGAGGACGCTAATACTTTAGAATCTGATATTTCAGATGGAAAAAAAATTACTGATTAATCAGAATACCCTAACGCCTTTGAAGAGCTGATTCTAAAAAAGCTAAGTCACCAATCCTGAAACCCTTTGCTCAAAATCATATGTTTTGTCAGGTAGAAGAGTTAGTCAAAATACGTTACCTGTATGTGCTTTTTCTCACTATCAAACATTCTAAAGAGCTGTAAATGAACTAACAGGAATATCTAACGGATAGTGGTTGTAGTTCAGGTAGCTCAGTGGTTAGAACATAGACACATAATGTCAAGGTCCTAGATCGAATCCTAGTCCGATCACGCTTTTTTCCTTCACAATACCAAAAGTAACGTAATGAGCAAAATCAAAAAAGGAGTGTGCAGTTACCATCGGACAGTGAGCAGTCAGGCGTATATTTGGCAAAAAATCGAAAATCCGCTTTCTTCAAATTCAAACAGTGTCGAATCTACTTTGGTCTGCGAGTTATGTTATAATATAAAAATTTTGGCTCTATGTGTTGAATTTTAGGGAAAAAATACATGCAAAAAAGAACTTGTATAGTGTCGAGCTCTGGTAAAAACGCTTTTTTATTAGATTATGTCGATTTAAATTTGAAAGCACCACATGTTCTGAATCTAGACACTTTATGCATACATAAAAAAATATTTTACTTGGATAGGATTTACGAGAAAAACAAAATTTTTCGAATCGATACCATTTCCGATTAGGTTACCATGGTTTTCCAACCTCGAAACAGCCTCATCATTATACCAAAATGTTTGTCGTCATTTTCTCTATCTATAGCGAATGCGCGAAAATGCGCATATTTATCTAAGTTGAGCATAGGTTTAAAAACCCTGGTTTTTCAGATGAAAACCATTTTTCCAAAGCCAGGAGCACTTTTAAGAAAACGTAAGGTCATATTCGGAATCACCACGTTGAGTTACATCATATCACGTGTAACACGGTAAGTTTTGGATCCATAGAAAAAAATATCCATAGAAATCTTTTCTCATGAACAAGCCAGACCGATATCTTCTGAAAACGTTTATTTCTTCTTTAAAGCAGTAGAAATGACTAAGTAATGATAATTATTGATGAAAAAATCATTTACGAGCAAAAAATACTGATTTCCGCCTGCTATTAGTAAAGTGCACACTATGTGTCGGAGACCGTAACTAAAGGTACTCCACATAAGATCTACTTAAAATCGATTTAGACAGTATGCTGCCCACACTGGTATATTCGAAATTAGTACGCTCGATTATATATGAGTAAAATGCAGAGGTATTATGTCGTTTCTATCTTGTAAATATAGAACTAATAATTGTCTCCAGGCAGTAGAGTCTCATGCTCTACATCTAGATCGGGACATATATCCCGATCACGATATAGCCCAAAAACATATGTCCTAACCGGAATATAAATCGAGTTTTCTAAGTAAAATTTATTAGCGAAAAAATAATGGTGTTCGCGGAAAGTTCTGACTATACCGGCGAAAAGAGCGTCAAAAACTGCATCAGATTCTTTTCTCCTTGTGACTAAGTCTTTTTTCCGGTCAGCTACCTTTTTTTAAATGATTCTCGCGGTTCATATTCTATATCCCGATCAGGATACTTTACTTTTTTTTACTAGCTATTTTAACACTTTTTCGAAGTATCTGAACCTACTGTGGACACATATAAAGCAGCAACATTCAGTGAAATGTTCAATTAAAGTCACGCCTGTCCACCGTGATTCGAGTTCGCGTAGTGAAGTAAACAACATTGTTTACAAAAAAAAGATTTCAGATTCATAAGCTGCTTCCAAAAGTTTAAAGTTTTAAGGATACTGAAGTGTTTTCACCAGTCAAGTTCTGGCGGCTGATATGTTAGGATTACTAGAATTTCGACAAGTGGAATTTCGTCACCTGAACTTCGACAATTGTCCAAATTCTAGAAGAATTTCGACCATAAAAATTATATAACCCCGATCATTACATCTTTTATTTGTACTGTAGCATTACTAATAGAGTAATAATTATTATTGTCGAAATTCCGCGACAATTGCCGAATTTCTAGGGGAAATTTGACAATATTGTCGAAATGCAGGTGGCAAAATCCCAGTTGTCGAAATTTTAATTTACCATATGTTATTTTCTGTATCATCTTTGCACTTCAAGCACTACATTAACTAGTTTTGGGCGGTTTTAAACTGCGGCCCTACTGTAAGAAAACTATATCCCGATTGAGATATATATCGTGATTGCGATATGATTTCTCACTGCCAGGATAAATGTTTTTTAAACTTTTTCTCATTTGTTCCTCTAATATAATAGCTGCTTTGAAATAGGCAACGTATATATCCATATTAAAAAATTGTATCGATAAAAACGAAAATTTTGATTGCTCTTTCTTCTTGTCAAAAATTTGAATATCAGTTTGAAAAATAATTTTACTTCAGAAATATCTTGCTACCTTAAAGCAGCGATGTTACTACGAACAATTTAGTTAGACCTAACTCATTCTATTCGATTTATAGTTTTAAAGCGAATCTGACTGTGTTTATCAAAAGATTTTAGAACGAAAAGAAATCAAATACTCACTTCATTATAGAACACAATGGAAAAGTTCAACTTTCAGCTTCACAATAATAACACTTATCAATTAGGTTAAAGGTGATCGTATCAGATGTGCCTCATTAAAATGTATCTGCTGAAGTATAAACATTGTTTTGTTACGTCTATTCATGCTTTTTGTATTAACGCGAGTTTGAGAATTTTTTATCAAAATCTTGCTGTGGAAAGAAGAAAAGAACTGTTGGAATAAGTATTTTTTCCTCAATCCTAGGACAAATTCACCTGGGAGCCATTGCATGAAAAAAACGCGTGTTCCGCACAGAAGTATGCTCAATGCCCATCTCAGATTTTTTTCTAAGTAGTCTCAGCTTGTAGAACATAACTGGAAAACCTATAAAACCTTATGATTATGACATACTGTACTGCATGTATAACACCCAAATGTTTCTTTTGCATATCTTTAATGGAAGGCCCCACCTGTCTAGATACTCTGGCCAACTCAGTTTGTAGAGAATTTCACGAGCTATCCGGTGGTATGTTCTTAAAAATATATAATTTTTCAATACGACAGAAAAGACTTCTAACAGCGACGTGTTTTCCTTCACTTTGACGCTAAAACGTTTTCTGGAAAATTACGAAATCCCAAACTTTTGACGGTGGCTCTGTATAATACGCCAAGTATACCATCCATTGCAACTAGTCTGACTTCATTGTAGATAGAAACCTCGGAGAACCATAGATCACGAAAATGCTCCATGAAGCTCCATTTTTGTTCTCTGTTAAGGTGTGGGATGAGAGTGATACGTAATATTTGTATGTCAGCATATAGTAGACATTTAGTACTATATATCCTAAAAGAATCTTGGTTACATGTCCTATCGTTCGCGAGCATAACGAAATCTACGATGTTTGCCTATGTAATTTCTCGAACTTTACTCGTCTCGAGAAATTTTCATATCTACAGAACGAAAACGCCTGGATGGCTAAAAACTTGGATTTATAGATTTTCCAGTATGCTTTACAAGATGAGTCTACTTAGAAAAAAATCTGAGATGGGTATTGAGCATGACCTTTCGTGGCTTACGTGCAATGACTCCTAGACAATGATAAACAAAAGTTTTTTCTCGCAATTTTCATGCAAACTGTACAAGTACGTTCCAGAACCTGGACATCTTGTCGTTTGAAAATTATAAGAGAAACAAACTAAGAAAAAAAGTAACCGTATTTCACTCTGTTAGCAGAGTTATTTGGCCAAGCACTTATAAGTCGATAGTTCTATGCAGTATATTAAACTATCTTTTAACTACCCATATCTTTTTGAGAGAAAGGTTAGGATAGAACATTAGGAAAGCAAAGCACAAAACAACACTACATAGTTTGAAAAAAAGACTCAGGATGCATAATAAAATTTATCTCCCTTCCTCACTTTAAAATATAAAAGTTAGTCCTACATTTTGTAAACAACTGTTGGCTACTATCTTTCTTTCTCTGAAGGTCTTTTGGTAGCTATTAGCAATGCTGATGTTTATTTTGATAAAACAATTTCTCTGTTGAAAAGTATTAGACAAATGGAACAAAAAATGATTACATTAAGTGTTATAGAAATAAATTTAGATGGAAAACAAATAGATATCCGATGTACTGGTTATGGTAAAGATTATGGTAGTTATGATACATATATTATAAAGCCACCTATCGATCAAGACAAATATGAACTATTATTACAGTCAACTGATGTCGTTGTAGGTGGAGTCACTGGGTATGTAGTTTAATATTTGAAAAGTGTAAAAGTAAACATCGATTTATCGAGATTTACTTCAGAAGTTCTGCAACTTTTTCCTAAAAGTCCCCAAAACGGTCTATAATGATAACTGTATAAAAGTATAATTTGTATTAAAAATTTTCGTATAATTGTGGTAAACTGGTAGATTATCGCATTATTTTATCAGATGGGGTCTTACTCGTATAATACATCGCTACTATGCCGTTGTAGACTCAAAGGACAAGTAGCAATTTACAAGTAGGTCATTTTTCGGCCCAAGAAATTTTTGAAAAAAAACAACATACGATTAGAATCAGCATCGAATTCGGAACAAAACTGTATATTCAGATTTTTGAAAAATTCTCTTTCATTTTTTTTGAAAACATTTTGCTCTGGTCCTTTAAGAGTCACCTTTTTGTTCGAGTCTGGTTGAGTAGAATTTTGCGATAGTGGTTTGTTTTAGTACTATCGACTATGAGCTAATAGAAATCTGAAAGTTTGGTTCTCTTTGAAAACGACTGTTTGCACCCGATTTTTCACTTTATGATCAGAAAATAAATAAAATTCTATGCTTAAAGACATTATTGACTTGAGCTGTACCAGACCAAAAGCGAGAATATAAATTCCCATTATATCATTCGAAAACTTAAACTGTCAAAACACAAAATCAATCCTTGCACGAAGCTAGGATAGAATACACGAGCTTGATCTTTGCAGACGAACTCCAAAAAACAACTTCGCTGCTCTCTCCTATATTCTGCACGATAAATGAAGTTGTCAAAAGGCCTCATTGTACGTTTGTTAGATATAGCAAAACGTTTTTATACATGAAAACCTCAATTTGATTATTTTCAAACTCGTTCTTAGGGTCGGCTCAGGTCGATACTAACTACATGTCAAAAAGATTCCATTCCTTTAAAAACTAATTTTCTCTATCAGCACAAAATGTTCTTCAGTTTTTAAAAGATGATATTTGTAAGCAGCGCGAAAAACAAACTACATTGACTGGTGCGTTTTTCAAAAACATTTGGGAGAAAACGTTTTTCAAAGTTGTGTAGGGGACCAGAGCAAAATGTTTCCAAAAAAAATGACAGAGAATTTTTCAAAAATCTAAATATATAGTTTTGTTCAGAATTCAATGCTGATTCTAAAATCATATGGTTTTTCTTTAAACATGCCTTAGACCGAAAAATGATCTACCGCTTGCTACTTGTGCTTTAGCGAAAAGTTGCTTCGCTTAGAACCGCAAAATATACACAGTGATCCGAAAGTCTTGGTCGAACTTAGAAAAAAATTCGTTCTCCTCTATAGCAGATCCAAAAAGGCCCAAAATTGGATGTCTTATCCCTCCTGGCTAGACAAATATTACCCTAAATTTTTGGATCTCTAGCCCTAGTGATTTGGGAGATACATAGGTTTTTATGATAGAGAAATTTTTCTTCACATGTTCTAAAATCAAAATAGCGATATGTTGACCAAAGAAATAAGACAAAAAACGAAAATAAATACATCAAAATGCGGAAATATTAGAGCTTTAGCGTATAGTGTATCTTCTTTATCTCACATATGACAAGATGCGCACATATTCGGTCTAAGAAAAACGTGCGCAGAATGAAGAGAGAAAAAAATATTATGTATTTAACGAGAGGAAGAAGAACGAAAGAGAACCGTTTCCAACAACTGCTTGTATTGCGATTTCTTTTCGAAATTCAAGTTTTGATGTCCAGAAATATAAAAAACTTAGAGAGCAAATTTAAATTTTGCATGATTTGCACCAAAATTGATCATCCAGTGATATTGCCAATGAATTAGTTTGAACAGTGATGGTTCACCACCTCTAAGATAAAAAGATATGCCCTCAATCGTTATATCAATTACACGATCAAAAGGGGTACAATTGAAGCAAGAAGACCAAGATTTATATCCCTAGTTCAAACTTCTTATTTCTTTGGTCAACGTATCGCTATTTTGATTTTAGAACATGTGAAGAAAAATTTCTCTATCATAAAAACCTATGTATCTCCCAAATCACTAGGGCTAGAGATCCAAAAATTTAGGGTAATATTTGTCTAGCCAGGAGGGATAAGACATCCAATTTTGGACCTTTTTGGATCTGCTATAGAGGAGAACGAATTTTTTTCTAAGTTCGACCAAGACTTTCGGATCACTCTGTATGAATAGTCTTGGTATTTTTTAAAGTTTTTTCTTAATCAACTCTTAATTTTGTTGGACAAAGTTAGGCGTGTTACAGCCACAACTACGCTAAAATTGTTATTTATTTTATAGCCATTGAACAACGATAATGTTATAACAATTTGTATTGTTTATTTCTAGGAAACAGCTTGAGCTCGTTTTCTAAAGCATAAGCAACTGGTGTCGACCAGAGACCGAATCGTGTCTTAGGTGGATGACCCGAATCAACATTTTCTATGTGAGCCCGAACTCGACTCGATCCGAAGGCTTTTTTACCCGATCCGAAGTGTTACGAAATTTTCGAAACTTGACCCGAATGTCCCGAAAATTGTCTTAGGTGATCTAATAGATTTTTCTAGAAAAAGAGCAAAAGCCTACAGCTTTTGTAATAGCCTAGAACGTTTCTCTGATTTTTTGTCTAAGTGGTAGTTCATTCGAATTGTGATAACCCGAAACAGGAAATCTTTCTCGATCGTATATTGTCATGAAGTTTAATCATCATAATACGACGTATATTTAAGGCGTTCATTTTTCCGGATTTACTTATGTTTCCTTTTTTCTTTTCTTTCTTTGCTTCAACAGTGCGATACTGGACAATGAATGTATAGTGTAGATTACACAGCATCAAAGCAGGAAGGAAGAAAAACTGTCCTTCTTTTTTCGATAAAAACAGTACATGTTGAAAAATAGATGAGTGAACCGTAACCGAAGAAATTTTCCCGATCTATTTTCAAACGGCAAGACCCGAATAAAACCCGAAAAATTCTTTTCCTTTGACCCCACCCGAATCAATATTTTTTACCTCAACCCGAACCAGTCTTATTTACAATGACCCGATACGACGAGACCAGACCCGACCCGATTCGGTCTCTGATATCGACAACTGTCTATAGACAAGAGCATGTATCAAGCAAACAACATAGTTTTGCAGAACTATGTCTGAAACGGTTATCGTTCCTGCTGCTGAAGTCGAGCGATTCCATTTTGTATTGTTTTAAACTTAAGCTCCCCCCTCCCCCGTCAGAAACGCATCTCGACAACCGTGAGGTAGATGTCAGCTAAACTGTCAGGTAATGGTGACCTTACGGTTGTACTCTTTTCCTAAAATTTTGGCGAGGTCATCTACCATCGTTTCCGAGATGTCGTTCAATCGGAGGTCAAAATGGAGCGGTTCGTAGCCGCAAGATTTCTCCGTAATGTAAGATTGCGAAGAGCTCGGAAAGGCCATAAAATGACACATGTGGTTAGAGGCTAATAGAGCCAGATTTTTGATATTTTAGTTTTTCAGATAGCGTTAAAAGTCAAAAATTCGAAAAAGTCTGATTAACTTGCATAAAGATATTTGTCCAATCACAAATATAGACCGAATATCAAAAGTTTGAGTTCTATTAGTATTAGTACTATTAGTTCTCTAATCACTTGTGTTTTCGTCATTTTAAGAACTTCTCGAGCTCTTTATGACGTTTCGACGTGTCTTGCAACTACGAAGCGCTGTCATGATGAACACCGCTTTCGAGATACGGTGAGCTCCGAATGCAACTCTCATAACGTTTGATTGGAAGGTCATCCGGAGCTGTGCCATGTCACATTTTGATCAGAAATGTTCGCTCTATATCCTATGGTGTCGTTGAAAGTATTTCTGAATTCGTTTTTGTACCAGAAGGTGACATTTTTTAAAAAGTTAGTTTTTTATGGCTCACAGAAAACTTTTCTAAAAACCTTCATTTCCGTTCAATAGAGATCAAATAGCTATGGATCCTGATAGTAGACACCATAGGTTATCTGATGAGGTGTTTAACTCAATTTCGACTTTTTATTAAAAACATTGTGTTTCTGATGGGCGGAAGCTTAAGAAGAAGCAGCAATGTTTTTTCTACCGTTATTGTGATTGAGAACATGACGACCCACGCTAATTGTGATGTGTTGGATTCATCATATAACATTATCATCTTCTATTTATAGAAGACAAGTAGATTGGAAACACCTGTTGATCTTCGCACAATTTCCAACAAAAATTGCGGTTGTTCACCGTTAAGCAATTCATTCTCACGACTGTACTTAAAGGATATGTAGCCGGTTACAAGCTGTAAAACAACTACTTTATAATCACGCTATGCGTACACAGAAAATGAATGATCCAAATTTTTTGTAAACAAACAATATATTTTTATGGAGGATAAAAAGAATTTAGACAGACACTCACCCACAAAAAGAAAAAATCTTCTCAACAAATGAAACAAAACTTCACACAGTAAAATGGTGCGCATCTCTAACTTTTCGACCCAAAAAAACAGAATCGGTAATATGAAAAAAGTAACAAAAACTAAATACAAATCAAGAACATGCAATACTCACGTAATCGTCCACATTAAGGATAAAATAAACGAATATGTCTGTTCTTTTATCTCGAATCTTATTGAATAAAAGTATTGTCGTGGAAAATTAGGATAGAACTAATCGACTGTAGAAATGCTGAAAATGAGTATAATGGATCTTTACTAGCTTTGCCACCGGTCGCCAGAAAACTGTTAGATTTTATTGAACTCTCAGTTAATTTTGCCCTTAAATAAAACTAAAGTATCATCTAAACAAGAAGATGTCCAACTTGGAAACTCAAAACCCAAATCAGATTTGACGCATCTGAGCCTGAAAGTCGGTAGAAAATAACCTGTTTTCAAGATCTGAATTAATAACGTGTTTTTGTCTGTATCACTACCGTTTTTACTATAAGTGAACAAAAAACAATGTTTTCGTTATTCCGTGAATTACATTTTGATCATTAGTTTTTCTCTTTACTTTAAGTGGTGAAGAACGTATTATATTTGAAATGAAAACAGTATCAAATATTCAGTCCTATAATCCTTGTCCAATAATTAAAGCCTATCACTTACATCCAAGTGGTATAAGAAATTATGACCCATATTTAGTTGTTGATAATTATGGACGATCATTGTCGGTACCAGTCATCGATTATCTACCGTAGACATTATGAATAATGCATTTTATATTATATGAATAAGAACGATTTTCTCCTACTTCTTTTTAGCAACGAAAATAAATTGTGGTTGTTATTGGTGTTTTTTCTGTTTTTCAAAGATCAAAATGTAATCACTACAGCAACTATGTCTCTCAAATATTCCAACGTCTACTCGACTATAATCATCAGCGAGAGGACGAACAGTTTCAATATGAATTCCGAACATGTTCAATCTGTCCCAACAAATATTCAGGAAATGACTGCATTCGTCTCCGTCAATGTGAACGATTGTCGCCGGATGTTTATCAAACTATGCACAAGTCTCTTCAAAATGATGAAGTTCTTGAAAAACCACATTGTCCACAAACTGAACTAAAATATTGGTATTATAAAAAAAAATAGAAATAAACAAACAATAGCTCATCTGAAAGAACATAAACACAGAGAGACTAGTAACATTTGACAAAATTGAAAACGGAAGATTTCTAAAAAAGTTTTCCATAAAATCTCTTAAGACCCTCTAAAATCTCGAAAGTATCTCTACCGAATTCTCCATGTTTTTCAGCCTATTACAGGTTGTTTGCACAAATTTGAGCAAAACTGAGGAAGTTAAGTGAAAGTGACTTACCCGCTTTTTTCCCAATTCTTTTAACAATAGAAACGATAACAATAGAAAAATGTTGCTTTAATTTTGCATTGTGCGTGTCTTAGTATTATTTGAATCAAATTCATTTGAAATACAAGAGTTTTGTTCTAAACTAGGTAGATAGATACGTGTAACAGGCATACATCTTACTGGCGGTGCTGTTTAACATACAGCTAAGTGAAACATCTAATTTTGATTTAATTCATCTGATAATATCCGATGTTGACGAAACCTGGTAGCAGGTTTTATGAGCTTAATACTAGACTTTTCCATAGATCGTGGCCATGACAAGGAAACTCCTGATCACTTTTTTCCATGAAACTAAAAAGGGTCTCTAATCGTCCATGCATCCATCATTCGATGCGTCTTGAAAAGCTCTACAATATGTGCTAATACAAAGTTTAACGAAGCCGGGCAGCGGGTTTTGTGAACTAAATACTTCGTCGCTTAAACCCAAGAGAATTTATACATCGTGTTCTGCTCTAATAGCTTCTGAAAAGATATGTAAGACACGTGTTTTATACATTTTTAATGGTTTCCTTTGTTCTTCTTTAATCCTTTTACAGATGATTTCACATTACAGCTGATATCACTACACAGTTGATTACGATTTCACATTTGTTTGTATATACGAAAATGAAGACATGTTTGAAGTGGGAATAGAAAACCAAAAAGTAGTGTTTTCTCTGTACCGTAGTATAAATAAAAGAGGGACTGTTACTTTTTGCATGGTGAATTTTGGAATTATAAATGATGCATATTAAATGTGTTGGATATTGTCGAAACTTAACGATAATTATCAAAATAGAATTTCTTGTAATCCCTTCCAATTATTTATTTACTAGTTCGTACGTTAACACGAATCTGTTTGGATGATTCTATCTGCAAAATTTGTCAGTCAAAATATGGCAAATAAGTAAAAAAGACCAAGAATGACTTTAAAAGTTCCACTGAGGAGGCTGAAGCTAATGTCGATTTGATAATGATCAGAATAACTCTCATGTACCTCACCATATTTGCTAATGTACATGAGACCGTTTCGTCCTTCTTAAATTGTTTAGATCAGGAAGATTCATCATACTAATAGTTTAATAGAGTTATCCAATAGTAATGATGATCAGATAACTGCTTTAAGTTCTAGACAAATTCTCGCTTAGACAATAACCAAATCTCACAAGTATTTTGACACTGGAGTTTTTTATCTTATGTCACACACTGTTTCTAAGAAACTCGCTTTACGTCTTAGGTCGTGTGTAGTTTGCAAGAATATTGATTAAAATGGCATATGTGCTGTCTAGACAAATGACTTTTTTTTCACTTTTAAAGAAAAAAATCATTAGAGCTGCGACAAATAGCGATTTTCTTTTCTTTTCTTTTCTTTTCTTTCTTCTTTTCTTTTTTCTTTTCTATTTTCGTGACATCACTTTACACAGATAACAGTGTTATTAGGACTACAGCAAATAAGGAGATATCTCTTGTCGCACAAGGTAGAACGTATACAGACATCGCCTCACATTTGACGTGATATCTTTGCACGCCACATAGTTTTTTTCTCGTTCTGTTTCACTGTATAAAGAAGAACGTGGATAGATCAGTTCACCACTGTTTTCATTCACCGTTTTATTCTTACATATTAGAATCACAACGCTAAGCTGCAGAATAGAAAAATGTGATATAAACAAGTAACGTTCATCATTCTGATTCACTTATCCCTTGACTGGAAAGGAATCGCCAATATAAAGTTGTTTCTATAGAATAAAATAATTATCTTTTTTGTTCACATTACTCTCTGAAGAACATTCT